TTCTAGGATAATACATACTTTAAATTAATTAAAACACTTTTTACTTTTCTGAACGTATTTGTAAAATGCAAAATACATTTTTGCCATTTAAAGTTTTGCAAGTAATACCCAACAAACATTATATAAAATGATAAATGATAGTTGCTCACATTGGCTATTAAAGGTATTAGAAGCTTAAAAAGGGGACAAAGAGACATTTCATGAATGCCTTGAAAAAACAAATCGCAAGAAAATTTTTACTTCAAGTTTTACGGGCAAATTGTCCAATTTGAAAACCTGCCCGTAAAACTTCAAGTTAAAATTTTGTTGCGATGTTTTTCCACTTGTCCGTTGCCATTGGTTTTTTTTCTATTTTGAGAGTTGCATTTTGAGACCTACTTGGTTTATCCAGCCGCAAGGCTCGTGAGGTATACGGAAATCCTCCTTTGCTAACAGGTTGGTTGAGAATCCGTCGCGGTAGCATTGTTCCAATTTCCAATACAAATTGTTTTTTAATGATTCTTTCATAAGCTTCCTGAATAAGTATGTAGTTATAAAATTTAGTATTTGTAAACACAGCCATCAAAATAGAATGTGACCTTGTGCAACGTAACATAATAATACATAAATGCTATTAAGATAGTATTGATCACGATTCCACTTCTTCGTGCACTCGGTTCGAAAATTATTACACTTCTGTCACGTTTTCTTTGTCATGATTTTTTTAAACACTGCGAGTCGTCTGTTTTGCCGTGGCATCACAGACGTTAATCGCTATGAATGTTTATAACATTTTTCTCTTACTAAAGGTGAATCATACAAGCTATAAAACTATACATGTGTACATGTTTCGTATCAAGTTTTTAATTTGTTCAAATAAGAAAATATTTGGAGTTGAACATTCTTCTATTCATTGGACTTTAACAATTTTTGAAGTTCAATGAATATGAGTTTATAAAAGAATCGATGCCAAAAATCCAGAGAATATTAATGTTTGTATAATGTTATTTTTTTAATTCTTTTGTGTTTCGTAATCTCGCATCAAGAGGTACTATAAGTACTGCATACTATTAACGATGAACAAAATTGTTATTTGACTAACTTTTATCGTAATGGCCTTCTAAATATTATACATAGTAGGTTAGTAGTAAGTTGTTGATATTTACTTGTTCCACAACCGTCACTGTAAACATTCTTCATCGATGTAGCTTCATAATTATTACTGCAATTTCTCTGTACCTTGTCAATTTAGGTTCAGAACTGATTTCGGATTGTAACTTTTTCTGGGTATTGTAGCGACCACGAGCGTGATTGTGTGCGATCGGGCATACGTGTGTGTGAGCGGCTTATCGATTCGCCGACTAGCCGCGGGCGCTTTTCTTCATGTGCGCCGTATCTGTAAATGTGTGTGTCGTACCTGCGTTCCGGGAAAGCAATTAAACCGTTCAAATAAAACGAGACTTCTCTGGACGCCTGGAGAATGTTCCCGAAAGGAAGCAAGGGAGTATTTAAAGGAAGAGACGATCGCCGAGTGGAGGAGAAATAAATTGACCGTTGCAGAAGTGAATCAAGAGATAAATAGACAGTGATAGAAGTGAAATAAATAGAACAGTGAATAGTAACAGTAGTGTAAATAAATAGAATAATTACCGAAGTTTAGTAATAATTTAATAGTGTTTTTAAGTTTAATAGTAATTAGTGTAAATAAATAGTTTTCTTCTTAAAATTTAATTTGTTAAACCCACGAACATTACAATATCNGCAAGGGAGTATAAAAAGGAAGAGACGATCGCCGAAGGAGAGGAGAAATAAATTGACCGTTGCAGAAGTGAATCAAGAGATAAATAGACAGTGATAGAAGTGAAATAAATAGAACAGTGAATAGTAACAGTAGTGTAAATAAATAGAATAATTACCGAAGTTTAGTAATAATTTAATAGTGTTTTTAAGTTTAATAGTAATTAGTGTAAATAAATAGTTTTCTTCTTAAAATTTAATTTGTTAAACCCACGAACATTACAGTATCTTGTAAATTCTTTTGTCTCTTTAATCACATTGCCTTACCCCCATGCGATTCCCAATTGTATCTAGTTGATCCTTCCAATGTTTTGTACTTATTTCAGAAACACGTTCCTACCTATCTTACCTCGCATTTTTTAAAAGAAAACGGACGGTTTCAAATTTATTCCCAAATTAAGCAAGTCAAATTTTGCATTAGGTTAATTGTTTCCGATGTCATTGGTAACCTCATTCGCATGTCATTGGCAAATTCGCCTTAGCTATTGAATACAATCATCTTTAGCGAGTTTCTGTAAGGTTAGTGTGGCTACCAGTTCTCCCTTTTACCTCAAATGTTTTATTTTAATAAAAAATATGTGAGAATCTAGAATCTAAACTTTTCTAGTTCTAGGCATTTGGGAGTGAATTTGACTTCAACCTCTTTCCATATTCAGATAAATAATCATTAATAACGGTTGGGTTCTGCCTTTTCGTTGTATCTTTTGGTTTTGTTATTTCTACAAACGATAATTAACCCTTACATATTTTCTTTTATATTAAATATTCAGGGAAGTACACAAATTAGAAGATTCTTTTAATATGTTACCAAGAAGTGGGACAGTTTATTTTTCATTTTGGCTATGACGTATCGTATCATAAACAATCCGCCAACTTTAATTAATTTATATCTTATTGATATTCGCGAAATTATTTATTATAGCCAGTTAAAGCGAATAATGCCTCAGGTGACTGTCGTTCCACTTTTCTAATATATCTCCATTTCCATCTCAATTTAATGGGTAACAAATTGTTGTTGCAAGCAAGATTTATGTTAATTTGATATACATGAAACTATTAGCATCATGTACCTACCTATTCATATCTGACATAGTTTAGTTACTGAATTAGAAGAAGTGGATTTTTTTATTGTTCTAGCTTTCTATACAGCAATCATAATCAAATTGGATTAAAATTTTTTGTTATGCGTTATGTAGGTATCTTGTTAATTATAATAATTTTAATAATGGTTAATGCTTTATATAAAGAGGTAAATAATTTTTGTAAAAATGTGTTTTAGTTATTATAATAAAATTTTAACATTATTAAAACATTTCATATTTATAGATCAACTAGGTTTTACTGGCGGCTTCGCTCTCGTTGATCTTTTTTATAGATTTTTCATATAAAAGTATTTAAAAATGTAAAATAACCTTTAGGATATCAGTATTGCATACTTCAATTTAACTTCAAACAATTTACATATGATATGAGTAATAAAGGCATACCCATTTGGCTTTACCAAACAATTTCACTCATGTCGCCAGGCTGAGATGTTATGCCGGATGACCATCTACAACTCCTTTCAAACGGTTAGAGATATGCCCCTTCCCTTTACCTAAACGCACCGTGACAAAATTCAAACATTTCCGTTTTGCTGACGCCTACAGTGTATTCATTCTATTCGCGGAGGTTTCCTCAAGGTCACATCTCTAACCATTTAAAATGAGTTGTAAAGCTAACAAGAACTGTATTTTTTCTGGATAAAAAGTACCCTATGTCCTTTCCTGTACCCCTGACACTATGTGTACAAAATTTCATGATGATCCTTTATTTAGTTAAAACGTAAAATCGTAACGAACAAACTCACATCGGCATTTATAAAAAGAGTCTAAATGACCGTCGTTACGTTATTGTAGAAGAAGACAAAGTAGGTAAATATAAATGACTTATTTTGCCCCCCCTGTTTACCCCTGCTTCAAATAAATTTCTCCATAGCTTCCAATACGTTATTCTTAATGAACAAACGACGATCGGGTGTTTTGATATCACCCTTGAATAGATTTCAAAAACTTCTATAGTTAATTTTACATCAGTACCTATAGCAGTGGACATCTCCATAAAGAAATTAAAATAGATCCGACTTATATGAACATAATTTGCGATAGAATTCAATTGTTTACGTGCATTGGAAATTAATCCAGAAATGTGGCTAACGTATTTACATAGAACTAGCCAACTGCATACAATTTAACGAAAGACAACTAACAAAGGTAACAATAACAATCAACAATCAACAATTAAAACATAAAAACATCAATAAAAAGCATACGCTAAATATAAAAAGTACAATACTGTAGTAATACGACATCGAGCCCTAAAACACTTTTA